CACCCCAGCTTGTCCTTAAGCTAAGTGGAGATATCAGAGTGGAGGCCAGCGCACGAGGAGCCCCATTTCCCCTGACACTGTCCTGCGTTGTGCGTTGTGCGTTGTCCGGTCATCTCGTCAAATAGGAAAGCGGGGCCGTCCCAAGCCTCCAAGCCTCGTATAGGCACTAGGATGCACGAGTGAACTGCCCGGCAGCTACTTCCTGCGATCTGACTGGACTCGCCTATGTAATGCAGGTGGACGTGGATCGGAGGGTGGGTGGAGCGTGTCCACGCTCCCCATTGGGACGGATACATGTTGGTGTCAGTAGATCATCTCTATCAAGACACTCGGAGTGAAAAGATGATATATCATTATGCCAACCTCGTGCATGTAAACGGTAACTGGTCCTGATCTCTTTTCCTATGTGATAATCTACCTATGCACCTGCAAAATAGGGCGACAAGGTTCATAAGCGAGCCCCTGCATAAGAATGAAACTACTCTGTAATACAGTTTGCACATATCTTATTTCTTGAAGGGGATATCCTTGCCTGTCTTACCACCGTGGGACACCATAGCGAAAGTATTCTATTGGTTCATTCATAGGCAAGGAAAGGTAAGCTGCAGTACCATGAACGCGGTCCGATCCTCTCCAGGGTTCCATGTGGTTGGGACAGATCAGTCCATGTGGGACTATATCATTCATTTAGGAAGTATGTAAAGGGTAAATGCAAATACACTTACCTAGATACCGTCGGTAGTTTACCTAGAGTGTACTAGGTATATGTCCCTAATTAGGATGCTTGGCATATTGCTAAATAAGGTTAAATGCGAGTAGGACAGGGGTGTCCTTAATCTCAGTAACTGCTCGCGTGAGTTCCGCGTGAATTCTTGATTTATCAGTTCCATACGTAAAAGTGCGGCTCTAGCTCTTGCTCTTGCTCTTACATTGAAGTCATTCGTCCTACATACCTTATCCTGATTCATTGCTCGTCTCCAAATGCCAGATCAGTAGTTCACCCGGGCTCTGATCTACGTGTTCATGGGTTCTGTTTCTGGGGTGTTCACCCGAGAGGGGTAAAACACATCCAATCACCCCGTTTGCCACTCCGACACGAGCAATGCAAGATTAACTTTCAGAGAGGGGAAGCTATTAATCCCAGCAGAATCTAGAGTCAGCTACTCACCGGCCCTGATTCAGGGCCTGGGAACTAGTTTCCAGTATTTGATAGCGTAGATCAAATAATCTGGCCCTTTGTTATCTTGCAGTTGCGTTGTATGTGCATCGTACGCGGTAGTCCAATCACTTCTCGGTCATACGATATCTGCCACGCCCCTCGGTTTGAATTTCCATGGACTGGATGATCTGCCCACGGACTCAATATGGGGTGGTTCTTTAGATTGGAGCTGGATCGCATCATCTGATCTGATATCTGGGTGTGTCACAGCCGACCAAAGCGGGAAATGTGGACTCAACCCCGTGATAAACTCGAGCAAGGAGTTACACTGTGCCACTATAGCCGAGGCAGATGCATTTGGGAAGTGTAGCAAGTCGAGATAGATTGATAGTGTCTTCAATTACTGGGGGGTCCCGCGGTGATCTTCCTGCATGACGGACATGCGCTGTTCATTTCTGTACCTGGAGCCACTCTTCCGCCCGGGCATCGCGGGTGATAGACAATATATTGTAGATGAAAGCGAGGCGCGAAAGGACTAGTCAAGCCACAGTACGCTAATCAAGTCCTGTCAAATTTGACACGACCGAATAGGAAAGAGGCTCGTGCTGTATAGGGTCGGCGCATGCATCATGAAATCATCCTGATACATATTCCTACACTGATGATCGACCTGCACGGGATCTCGGGAACTAGAGATCAATTCCGTGCCAAATCCCGATTGACGATATTGATATCACACCTCCACCCATTTTGCTCTGTCACCTTGGATCTGACTTGGCGTGCCGATCCCGAGCAAAAAGCGAAGCGAACTGCGATTTAGATTGAAAATTCACTAGCGACAACTATGTGGATCGGATCTCCACTACACAGTATTTTTCTTTTGCCTATTGTGGCTTTACCTCTGTTTACACGTATTTACCGTACCAAGGGACTCGCAACTGCGCCACAGAAAAGAAAAACAAAAACAAGCCGAAAGAAGCGAAACGCAAGCCACACCCACCCCATATCACCAGCCACTCACCATCCACACACCAGCCACACTCCTCAGCCTATGGGGGCGCGTGTTTCCTCTCCCCGAAAATGACGCAAAGATCCCCAACTCCACTCAGTGAGGCGGTGCTACAATGACGTTTGGGTAACACGGCATATGGATGCGACCCGCATCCACAATTAATTTATCCGATCCGGAAGTCACGCGCCCCGACGTAACTGACAGGAAAAGGAATCAGTCTTTTCCTATTCGCATCCCCGCGTGTGGGTCGTCTGCATGACCGGCCAAAAAAAGAATTACAAAAACAAGGCGCGATAGATAGGAACCCGGGTTCCATTGACCAGAGCCCGCGCGGGATGGAACACGCGAGGGAGTGGGTGTGGTAGGACGAACTCCTAAGTGGTCGATCTGGTAAGGTCGGACCTACTACCCGGGTGTATATCCTGCATCGTGTGCTGTCGATCAGGTTTTCGGTTGGGATTAGGTTCTATAGTTCGGTGATCAGATAGCTCGGCAGATGTAGATGTATCGGGTGATGGCGTGCTGCGGGGTGCTTTACTTTGCCCGAGAGATTGGATAGATATATTGACGCGGTCAGGTACTCCTATGATAACCCTGGGATTGACATGTGGCGTACATCGCAGGCACATCTACGGAGTACATTATGGAGTGTAAAGCGTGGGATGTGTGGGGGATCATCGGTCTGAGCTCGGTCCGCTGCTTATGTGGTTTTATGCGATGTATACCTCGCAACCTACAGGGATTGCCCATATTCTTGAACTCATCCTAAGTCGGATATTGAGGATTAACGGCATTAGTACGCAATATGGATAGTCTCCATTCTCTTCGGCACAGACTTCCAATTTGGATCTCAAACATGCCTGACATATCCAGATTCGGAATCGCGAGATATCATTCGCCGAAACTCATATCGACATGCTGAACACATGTATGTCCAACAACAAAGTCGATTTCTAGAAGGACTTCCATGCAAATGTCGACACAGCCCCTGCAAGCCTTACCAGTAATACATACATACGCACGTCAGAACCGACCGGGATATAATGAAACACACCCAGCAGACCAGGAATAACCATGTCGATGCAAAATGCCGCAAATTCTCCGCAGCCCTGTCAGAAAGACAGTTCCAGGTTTATCGCTTAACACGAGACCTTCTATTTGGTCGTGGTCCACGCTGCGATCAGACTATGGTTCTTGGGGTTATGCTGTGAAAGGGTAACAAGGTGAGATGAGATAGGAGTCAGAGTAAGATTAAGACGTATTAGAAATTTGATGGCCAACGAATGAATTCCTGTTTTTTGTTACGTCGATGTATATTTTCGACCATTCGGTTTGATATATGTTGCAAGAGTAACCTCAAACCTAGCCCCATCAACGCCCCAGTCATTAACGCCATATGATATGTTAGACATGCATTATTCGAAGCCGCACAATCGCATGAAACATAAGCCAAGGGAATATAAGAAGAAAAGACCCCGATCCACGTTGAAACACGACTGTGATACAGAAATATATCTCACCTCAATCCACGCCAGGTAAGACGTAAGCCGTAAACCAAACCAAGCAGGAGTTATACTTACCAACCAGTTACTCTTATTTCGCAACGTCACGTAACTAGAATATGCGAGATCAGTTCCCGATCTACTCGGGCACAGCGAACCGGAAATGGAAGCATCGGTACATACTTATATAAACACATACGTAGAGGCCAGGGATGTACATGTACCGAATATCTCCGGGTCATACATAGATACATACAGGGTAAGAAGAATGCAAATCCCATTCCCAAATAGGAAGGTATCAGCATCATTACCATTCATCCATCCCAAACCTCCTACCCCCGTCCCAGAAATGACAAATAACCCCAAATTCCACGTGTATGACGAACCCCAACCAGCAAGCAATAACCATCCAACCGCTCGCCTATATCTCCCCAATCCGTCAATTTGTCATTCCCAGCTAAATCCCCGTGCAACATATGTTCCTTTCTGCATCTGCATATACGTGCACACGTGAGCAACCCCCGCGCAGCCCAGCCCGGTCTGAATCGAATCCGTAGACTAGGTTTCGAGTTTGGATTGAGCATGGATGGTATGGTATGCTTGGATGGATGGTTTTTTCCGGTGCGGTATGGATCGTATACATGGAAAGATGTATGAATACAGACGTATATATAACATTGACGTTGAACTTGTACCTATGTGTACATTTATGTAGATTCATACTATATACAATATGTGGATGTAGAATGATCAATACATAGCAATGCTAATGATATCATGCGATATCCGACTGCATGCAACATGCTTGCACCTAACTTATACCTACAGAGCACTCCATCCTACACGCATACTGCACCAGCAAGCCCCTCCCGAGGCCATCTAGTCCGGGACGGGGGCGAAGGGTGAGTTCCAAGTTCCAAGAGGGAGGTTGTACGGCGGTTTTGACTTGGTTTGGTGTGGAGGTTAGTTGGGTGGGTTGGGAAGGGGAGAGGGTCTGTGGGGTTCTGTGAGGGTCTGATCGGTGGATGGCCTTGTGATGTTTTGGTTGTTTTGTTTTAGGTTGGTTTTGTTTGGGTTCAGGTGAATATGGAGGAGAATTGGGGTTGGGGGTAGAATTTGATTTGGGCTGGAGGAGGCTTTGGTGCCTGATTGGGGTTGGGATTGGGTAGGAGGTAGGTATAGGAGCTGTTGGTGTTGTGGGTTGGTTGTTACAATAACTACATATCAAATAGTAGACTGTATGATGAATTCCAATGGTATTGGGTATAGAAGACTAAGTATATACAGACCAGACAGTATAAGTTCGCTAAGTCCAACTCAAAAGCAATTAAGAGATTATAGTCTGGTTCTTATAAAAGTCGCAAGCATGAGGGTGCTGCAGACAATACTTCGGCACAAGAGCAGTAGCCATCACACCGTTGGCAACCAGGTATTCACGGAAGTTCAGCAGACGCTGGGTAAGGTTGGTGGTGCGCTTTTTGCCCGCTGCGTCACGATTACCAGACCAGACGAGCTCACCAAGAGCAGCGGCGCGAGGCCAGAACCCGCTGGAGATGGTCACATCGTCGATTTGCTCCGACCACAAAGGAGCCTCGGCACCGATAACGTGCTTCGCTTCGGTGGCAGTGAGGTTCGTGAGGAAATCGTAGTCGTAGATACGCTGCCAGGTCTTGTAGGGGGCGCACCAGGAGCCACCGGCGCCGCCGTAGTTGAAGGTCACGCCGCCGTCAGTGTTGCTCTGCTCGTTGTAACGGGGGTCGTTGGTGATAGCGCCGCCGTGGCCGCAGTCGAGGTAGAGGAAATCGGAGGACGAGACGACCACGTCGTAGCCGGCCGAGGTGAGCTTCTTGATATTGTCAATGCCGTTGTTCCAAGTCTGCATGACGATGTCTTTGGACACGTTGTGCGCGCTCTCGGTCGCGAGGAAAATGTCCTCCCACATCATGAGGCGACGGTGCTCACCGACACTACGGAAGATAGGCATGGAGTGGTCGACCCAGTACTGGGTAAGGTCCCTGTAGGTGCGCGAAGGATCCTCGGCAAACCACTTGGTGATGTGAGTGCTGAAGTTGTAGCAGTTAGGCTGGATCTCATCAGCACCAACGTGGAAGAAGTTGTCGTCGAAGATACGCGACAATTCGTGGTACACATTCTTGACCACTTCGTAGGTCTTGGGATAGATGATATCGAGCTGGCCAGGGTTCGGCTCGACCGCGGTGTGCTCCGCCCACACATCATTCGACCACCAGCTGTTGGCACACGCCACGATCTCCGGGTCGACCTGCTGCCAGCCTGAAGCAGAGTGGCCGGGCATGTCGACCTCGGGGATGACACGGACACCTCGGGCGCGGGCGTAGGCAATCACGCGGCGGATGTCTTTCTCGGTGTAGATTTCGCGAGTCGAGTAGGCATCTTTGGTCATCTCGGGGTAGGAGCTCATCTGCATGGGCCATGACTGCGCATCGTCCAAGTGCCAGTGAAGGACATTAAGCTTGGACAGGGCCATACCGTCGATCTGCTCGAAGATCTTGCGAACGGTGATGAAGTTGCGACCGGTGTCTACCATGATGCCACGGTAGGGGTACAGCGGGGCATCCTTGATCTCGACCGGCTGTTCAATGATCAAGCCGCCCTTGCCATCTGAGATGACAATTTGCTGCAGGGTGGTGAACGCGTGCAACACACCCCATACCGTCTGCGCATTGATCTGGATGCCGCCCTTGGCCACCACCAGTGTATAGGATTCATCCACGCCGTGTTGGAGATCGGCATCGCTGTCCACCACATGGACATTGACGTTGTGGACCGCGGAGGGCGCGCGTTTGGCCTTGGAGACAGGGGTCGAAGGGAAGGCTGGGTAGGAGGGAATCGGGGCCTCGACAGCGGCGGGGACCCATTGCAGGGTGGTGATAGTCTCCCATGCTCGCTCCCAAGCTTGAGAGACCACAGAGGAGTGATGGGCGTTCAAATTCAAGTGGTTGACTTGGATTGGACCGGAGGAACCCCAGGTGATGTTACGGGGGGCGGGAAGTGGATTCACCTGGACGGCGGAAACCGACAAGGCCCCGAGCACAGTCAGGACAGAGGCGAACTTCATGATGAGGAGTCGAGTGATGATGATAAACAGAAAGACCGTGGCTATGAGGTAGCCAGACCTATTTATGTGCTGCATTGCCGATCTCACATTGGCATTCTTGATGCAACCTGGAGATCGAGATCGGAAAAACAAACAGTTATCTCCTGTTACATCAAACGGAGATGATTAGAAGCAAAGAAGAGGAGACAGTGCAACCTTCACATGCAACTTCATCTGATATTAAAAGAGGGGGAGGAGCTATGGATGATACAGTCGCACTGTGTTTATTTACGATTATCTTGAACTAACTGGAAAGAACAGAATATCCGTATAGCATCTGGTATCATGATTTAATTCATCTATACTGTCTCCAACGACTTCTCCAACTCCATGGCTTCCCGGAACTCCTCCTGAATGGCCGCCACAGCCTTCGCATCAGGCACGACACAAGGTCGTCGAGGAAGACCACCATACCCACGGTAACATTGCAGACCAGTCTTAACCGCGATAAAGCCCCCTTGGATAGCAGTCCAGTCGGCACGCGCAACAACCGCCTGCACCTTCTGCGCCTCCTGAACCTTCCCAGCACAATACAACTCCATCACACGCACACACGAGCGAGGAATCAGATTAGCAATGCCACCAATAATCCCCGCCCCACCGGCAATCAGCGTCTGCAGCGTGAAATCGGCCGAGCCACCAAAAGTCAAGAAATCAGGCTTGGCCGCCGCAACACGAGCCAGCTTGCCCGTGTTGCCGCACGTGAACTTGCACCCGATGATGTTGGGGTGTTCTGCGAGCGTCAGGATATCGTCGGAGCTGAGATCGAGGCCGGACTGCACGGCGGGGAAGTTGTAGATGAGCACAGGGACCGGCGAGGCATCGGCCACGGCGCGGAAGTGCGCGTGCATGGACTCGGTGCTCACGAGTGTCTTGTAGTAGCTGGGTGGGAGGACCAGGACCGCGTCGGCGCCTGCTGCACCGGAGTCCTGGCATAAGCGGATGGTTTCGCGGGTTGAGGCGGCGCCGGCGCCGGCGATCACTGGCATGCTGCTGTAGCCGGCTGCGTTGAGGGCGCCGCGAGTGGCGGCTGTGATGGCCTTGCGCTCTTCACGGTCTAGATGGATGGCTTCGCCATTGCTGCCTTGGGTTACTAGGCCGGTTACCCCGCTGCGGGCGAGATAGACGGCGTGCTTCTCGACCGTTGCGAGGTCGACTTCTTCGTCGGGCTTGAAGAATGCTACGGTGGGGACGTAGACACCGTGGGGGAGGGCATTTAGCTTGGTGGCGGTCATTTTGGAGAAGAGGTCATCTATTGGTCTGTCAGGACGTGTAGGTTTCATGGACTCATTCGCTGCATACCAAATGTCACTTAGGGATGGGGATCAATATCGGCGAACCTACAGCTATTTAGCTGGATAGTCTTATCCCCCACGTCTGCTTTTGGTTTCATTCGGACATTTCCCCCCACGCCTGCGGGGTTGATTTCCGTCGATGATGCGTTGGAGTGTATAGGAGAGTATATCCCCTCTCCTCTTAGGGGTAAACTGGGGATATCTAGGTTGTCTATCTGATATCCTGAATCTACTCCTGTAAGTGTCTACTGCCCAGTGCTACTGTCTATTACTAGACTTATATCCAATATCCCAATATCCCCTCTCACCCCTCATGTATAGAAATATTACAATTCCGACCTGGCAATGGTTGAATTGCCGTCCCCCACACTGAGGGCCCGTGGGGGTTTGCCCTTTTCCGAGATAGTTGGGATAGCGAGAGTTGAATAGTTGAATAGTTGACTATTTTGCATTGAACATAGAGATAATTAACAATGAGAACCTATCTCAGGATAATACCTGTAGCAAGAATGGAGTGTTACCTATGTAGGTGCCCATTGGAAGCGCCATTCTATATATCTCAACAGCTGAATTAATTAATTCTGAATAGAACAATAGAATGAATACAATGCATTGTCTATCTCTGAAGAGAATCAGAATCAATATATCGTTGACGCCTCCAAGAAGTCCATATAAACCACCTTGACAACCTCCATCGGCATTCGCCAAGAACTTCTCGCATGCCCATATTTCATCCCTAAATCCCTGTAAACCCTCGGGGGACTCCCCCTGAATGCAAATGAACTGATCATCATCCAAAATGGCCCTCCTGTCGCGGTCTTCCCTCCGCTCTGTGCGACGGGCCCCCGATCCTGCCGACGGTCTGAAGAAATCGCGCATCCCAAATGGCTCCGACCGTAAGAGCTCCCCCGACTGTCTCGACATCAAAGATCCCATCGCAAGACCCCGTTCCAACCCCTTGAAACCCTCGCGCCCGCGCACCTCCAATCGGACTCGTCGCAACTCCTCTCTGTCGGTGGACACGGTCGCCTCCGGGCAATTGGCGACCCCGGCATGTGCAAATGGGAATGGCAATGGCAATGGCATTTACAGGACCCCACGCGCCCGCCGCGATCAGGGAACCTCCTCCGGCGCCGATTTTTTGCGCGGCGTGCACGAGTCGCCAGACCCATTGGACACGATCTCGCCAGCCCCGTCGGTCGCGAAGCAGCGCACCCTGACCCCTGCGATTGGGGACGCGAATAGCAAGCCAACGGTTTCGCCTGCTCGCACGACTCATCGGAATGACAATCGATCGCTGGATGACGTCGACGAGAGCGCGATCAAGGCAGAGGGTGCTGTGGGGGTGCCCCCGACGCGGGACAGGAGCGACGGCGAGCCTGCATCGGATACACGGTCGGAGAGACGGTCGTTGCGTTCGACCAATACCGGGTCACGGTGCAAGAGCGAGCTTGCGCAGTATTTCCACAACTACGAACAGATTATCAGCTTGGATGTGCCCGAACCTGGTAAGTTGCTCGACCTGAATGGATCGAGCGCATGGCTGATATTGGTTACTATAGAATTCCTTGCTGCCAAAACAACTATCACTCTCGTGGACGACCTCCCGCGACCACTACCATTCTGCTCTAACCCGGAGCCTACACCCTTTGGCAACCCGCTACTCAAGCTCTACGACTGTGAAAAGATCCGCCCCAAACATCCCAAACCCGCATCAGGCACACCCGCAGTCGACCCGCTGAGCGAAGAGACCTATTTCCGCGCACACCGCAAGTTCGAACGACAAGAGAAACAACTCCGCAACATCGAGCGCAACCGCGCCCAACATGAACAGCAAGTCCTAGAGCGTCTCCTGGACGAGCTACGCGGCCAGGACTGGCTACGCATGATGGGCCTGACGGGAGTCCACGAAAGCGACAAGAAGCTCTACGAGCCGAAGCGCGATATCCTAATCCAGGAGCTAGTCACTCTGGTCAACAAGTTCCAAGCATGGAAAGACGAAGAGCGCCGTCGCAAACTGGAAAGGGAAAAGGCACTCCCGGTGCCAGGCACCGAGGCAACACCCAATACCTCGCAACAGCACTCGCGCAAACGATCTCGTCCCGTGGACAGCTCACCGGCCCCGGGGACCGGCACGCCGGACGCAGACGCAGAGCCAGACCCAGACCCAAGCGATGTCGACGCTTTGGCTGCGCGTCAGCTTCACCAAGAAGCTCGCTCAGCGAGCGCAGCTAAACGGCGCAAGACAGCGCCCGCTACTCGCAAGTCTATCACCAAACCTCCTCCCAGCACCAACACCAACACCAACAACTCCGAACCAAACCCCAGCCCCAAACGCAAAAAGCCCAACCCAACACCCACTAAACCTCACCCAGCTCCTATCTCAACCCAAAAATCCATACGGCTCCAACAACCCTCCCTCTCCCACTTCTGGAACCCAGCTCCACAAGACAGCCCATTCACATCCTTCTTCCGCCAACGACATGTGCGCGAAGCAGCCATCGCCGCAACAAAAGGCACACGCCGCGGCGGATCCCGCTCAACCCTCGCATTCGGATATCCGGTCCCTGACCTGGGCGAACAGGACTTCGAGCTGCCGCCGGATATCCTGAACGAGGATTCTATTCAGCAGTCGCAGCGGAAGAGGCGGAGACTTAAACGGCGGAGTTTGGGGTGACATGGTGCATGAAACATATGGTTTTCTTTTTGTACATTTTTTGTTGTATAGCATTTTTACTAGCATGGTGTTTTTCGTTTTGCTTGTCATTTCCGGACTGGAAAGTCCGCCGGCGTTGGTGGTGGATGGATGGATGGGATTCATTCCTGGATAGGTTTGGCTAACTACATAAGGTCCATATTTCATTTATGTACAGGTGCATTAGTTAATTCATGGTCAATCTTGACAATTGGATGGATATGTTATCTGGAATCGGTGTTACCAGTGTGTGTAAATGGGTTTGATGAACATTCGTCCATGCTCAGCATAGAAGGAGATGAAGAATTGATTGCGTAGTCCGATGAGGAGACATGACTTGGTGTAGCCGTCTTTGAGATCTCAGGCAGGAGGTGATCCTGACTCTTCAGTGTGTTGGGTAGCTTCTTTCTAGGAAATTCTGGACAGCAAGCTCAGCGAGGCAGGAGTTCGAGATGTCAGGTGCCATAGCGGGACTTGAATGATTGCCGTATAAGTGGCTTGTGCAAATGAATGTGAGTAAGATTGAATGAAAGAAGAACAAGAAGTCAGTTGCTTTCCTGATATTGATACATAGCCAGTTGACAAAGAGAACCGGCTACGAAGATTTACACCCCTCATGTATTCCGTAGGACTCGTCAAATGGCAATGAGAGCCACGACTTCAGGAACGTCCACGAGAAAGACCAGTTTGTTGTTTGATGCAGACCTACAAGGACCTCATGCATATGGTAATGTCATGGTCCCTGTGGTAGGTGAAGCAGCATGTGCTACGAGACCCTCTGCCTGCGCTGTCTCGGGGGGCTACGGTGAGATGGTGGTCAAAGGGATGGGGAGAGGAGAAGAAAAAGAGAAGAGGAGAAATGGGGGAGGGCTCCTTTTATACCCCGAACCCATGTGCCTTCCTAAAGCGCGACACTCTCCATTGCACCTTCCCTGAACAAATGCCACATGTGTTTGTTGTCTTTGACAAACAACTTCTCGGTATATAGCCAGATGCCTTCTCCCTGGATCGTCTATCTCTTAACTTTCCTTATATCTGTCTTCCCTATATCTGCTCTCCTATATCTATCTTCCTTATATATCACAGTTCTTATATCTCGCTTCTTCCTCACTATACCACGCTGTGATGTGCGCATCTCGCCAGACTCAGAGAGTGAATACGAGCATTGCGCTAGCAACCAAGGTGAATCGCAGAGCCTATATGATCGAATCTAAAAATCTAAACCAGATTCTACATCAGATATCTCAGCAGACAACAATGGTGAATCTAGCGAAGTCATAACTTCCGAATCACAGCTAATCATCCTTCCCCTTACTTTTAACTAGGAAATCTAATGAGGTGAATATGATATTCAACCACCGGAGAATCTTCATGACAAGTCCTATTCAATCCTGCGCACAGGAGTTTGACTAAAGACGACTCTCCCAGCACCATGTCCAGGTCAAAAGCAAGCCCAGTCGCAAGCCCAGTCGCAAGCGAAAACACCCCACAGCTGGCGAGTCGGTCTACCTTCATCCCACAGGGTGAGCACCTACAACTATTTGCTGTTTCCTGTGCCTTGGAGGTAGCAATTAACGACATCGATAAAGAACACGCAAGCGTCTCCCTGTGGAGGCTCTTTTCAGACGGAGCCGTCCGAAGCTCGAAGAGAAAATAAAGCCGTTGAAAGTGGCTTTATTCATCTGCTGGGGTCTTGTGAGGCTGCTATATATGCCACCTGAAGAGAAGCACTACTGGTTGAACTGAAACGGCATGGGCAAAATTGACTACATGGTAGATTGCAACCATGAAGGCATCCTGGGCGGTCGGCCTACCTTTTATCTATCTACGTCCAGTATTACATGCTAGGGGTTCTCTTGTGTGATGTCGCCGTTACGTCGGGCTCATACAAAGCCCTCGCATCGGAATTTCAAAGCGGCCTTGGGATATGCGTTGAGATCAACTTTCTGTTAATAGGATGTGTCGACAGAGTTGAACCTGATGAAGAAGACAGATGCGAGCTTATATGAGAAACCCATGAAAGCATAGCTGTATTCAATGAAAACAAGAATAGTTGACCCATATATCCTTATAAGATCGTGTGGTTCATCAAAAGAAACCGGAACTAGCGACCAACTCCGACCCGATCTATATCCGAACGCGTCGTGCAATTTAAGGCAAAAGGCGTGAGCACGACATCGTGCAAGTTCATCCCTATAGGCTACCCCGTAGACAGACATAAATAAGCTTATCAGATGGAGTTCCCAAATCTGCAGGGCCAAAAGTAGTCGCCTCTAATTTAGACCTCCTATAGAAATTTTCACCCTCGCAGACCTGAACTCCTGTAGAACAGCCAGGTCCAACCTCGCACAGGAGGCCGGCATCGGAGCGAAGTTTTCTTTCCTCCAATTTTCACCAGTGTAATTTCTCACTCGAATCCAGCAGACCAAGTCCTTTTCGGCTTTTCCATTACGTCTCGACGAGGTGATTCGTCGTCGCGGTCCGCAGGTCGGCGATCCACATCAGTTTCGTGTGGCGGATTCTTTATTGTTCAATTTACTGACTTGGCGGGTGCTTTTCCTGTGAATTCGAGTTTTTAATACCATTTCCCTTTCGTTAAGATCTTACTCTCTCTTTGGATTTGGTGTATCAAGCGATTCGGTTTTGTTCGTCGCTTTTTGTTCGGTTCCTGACGTGATATCTACTTCCCGGGTATACTGGTATACTCGCTAGTTTTGATATCTGCGCTATGAGCCCCTCGCATTCTGCATTGGATTTCGATTCCAATGAGAAGAGTCCCTATATAAATCCCGCGGACTTGATGTCTGATCCGGAGAAGTTTGAGGTCCCGAAAGTCAGACAAGATGCCTTTGGCGACGAGGAGTTCGCGGAGGTCAAGTACAAAGTACTCAGGTGGTGGTATGTTTCATAGCTCGAAGTGGTAGCTCTGTTATTAACGTATATCTTGTTAGGCAATGTGGTCTGCGTATGTGATAATATGCTATATCAAACCAACCCTAATCTAACATTCTATTAGTGATGGTTGCTGAAACGGTATCACTGGGTGTGCTCTCACTGCCCGCCGCTGTGGCAGCTCTGGGACTACTTCCGTAAGCATACCTTCTGCCTCAAGTGCAGGAATTGAAGCTAATCATATCCAGAGCGATCCTCGTCTTGGTCTTCCTAGGTTTAATGGCCACATACACCGGCTATGTGATCGGTCAGATGAAATGGAGATATCCACACATCTGCACGTTTGCAGACGCCGGTGAGGTTATAGCAGGGAAATGGGGACGGGAATTCCTCGGCGCTGCACAGATCGTGTTCTTCATCTTTATCATGGCCAGCCACCTGTTGACCTTCACCGTTGCCATGAACACCATCACAAACCACGGCACCTGCTCCATCGTCTTTGGCATCGTTGGCATGGTCATCTCATTCATCTGCTCGTTACCTCGCACTCTGGAAAAGATGTCATGGCTATCCATCGTTTGTACGTTTCCATACACCCCATTGAGAACCCAATTAACAATCCCAGCATTCGTAAGCATCATGACATCAGTCATAATTGTCATGATCGCCGTCGGCATCACAGCACCCGGACAGGGAGTTGTCGCAGTCGTCGACACAAACCTCTACCACGGCTTCTCAGCAGTCTGCAATATCGTCTTCGCTTTCTGCGGCCACGCGGCCTTCTTCGGCCTAATGGCCGAGCTCAGGAACCCAAAAGACTTCACAAAATCCCTCTGTCTCCTGCAAGGCATCGACATGGGCCTGTACATCACCGCCGCGTTAGTAATCTACCGGTACGCCGGCGACGACGTGACTTCGCCAGCACTGGGCTCCGCCTCGCCGATGGTCGCGAAAATCGCGTACGGCATCTCGCTGCCGACTATCATCATCGCCGGTGTCATCAACGGCCACGTCGCGTTCAAGTATGTCTACCTGCGTGTTTTCGAGGGTACGGACCGCATGCACAAGCGTGACTGGATCGCTACGGGCTCGTGGGTCGGTATTGCGCTTGCGCTGTGGACCATGGCGTGGATTATTTCCGCTGCGATTCCCGTGTTTAGTAACCTGCTCAGCTTGATCACGGCGCTCTTTGCTAGTTGGTTTACGTATGGCTTGAGTGGGATCTTTTGGTTGTTTATGAATAAGGGTCTGTGGTTCTCGTCGCCGAGGAAGATTGCCCTCACTTTGTTGAATATCGTTGTTATTTCTGTTGGTGCTGCGTTGTGCGGTCTTGGTCTTTGGGTCTCGGGCAAAGCTCTCCATGATAACCCTAGCAGTGAGAGCTTTTCTTGTGGGAATAATGCTTAGCTGCATGCGTTTTCTGTTGGGTTAGCCTGGTTTATATAAAAGTGTATCTGGGAAGGGGTTTCTGGCGTTCTGGTTTTGCATCTGGGGCATCTGTTTTGACACTTTCGATACCTTGTTTCGATCTCGAGTTGCTGCTTGAGTTGGCTTTGCCTTGGATACTTGTTTCATACACACACTATAGTGGTGTTTGGAGATAGAGGTGAACTAATATAATAATACATAGTTTTAGTTTCTGACCCTGTAGCAGTTATAAGGCTGAACTCGCGCAGGCGATCAAGCAGACATAGGTTACAGGTTTATTTCAGTCAAGCATGCGTTCGCGAATGTGCGTTATATAACCGCAGTCTTGTGTGGGAGCATACCGACCCGGCTGAAGCTTGGAACAGGGTTGGGATTGCGCAGACGTGGTAGTCTGTGCTTGTTGGCGGGCAGAGGATTGCTGCTATGGGTATAGTGATTCGTATTTCATATTCTGTGAACGCTTTGTTGATTCTGTTGTTGCGAGGTGGAACGGAGCCAGGTGGCACTGCCGAAGGAGTAAAATATGGAGGGTGTATGTGTTGCAGGCACCTTAGAAGGTTGGGGAAGGGAAAGGCTCGGTTTGTCTTCTCTGCTGGGGGTCAATCGGGGCACCTGGTTTTGATCCTCGGTGTCTCTAAACAGTTCGATTATCGAATGTGGGAATCCAGCATGGAATTTTCAGATCCTTTCAGTTGCGAACTTCGTCTGAGTGGAGATGAGAAGCGAGTAGTGATGAGAGGCTGCCTGTGACAATATATTTTGTCCCTGGGATGGGCCATGGCTGCGAGCACGCTCTGCTAAGAATATTACGTTGTAGGATTTGCATGAAAGATGGTAGCTCAGTCAAAATTTCATTTTGAAGTCGGTCTTGATTATCGGATAAGCCGAAGATCGGGGCTCGTGTTACGCTCACTGCTAACAGTCTGCTAGTTCAAGGCACTGTAAGCACATATGATGAAGCTTGCTCATTTTGTGACGACACTGACGGTTCTGAAATCAATCTTCAACGAGACCAAAAGAGAGAGCCCCCGAAGCCAGATGATCAGATATTCAAGGATTTCACGCATTCAAAGGATAGCAAGATTACGCCGTCGGCAACCCGAATTCCAGATGGAGGTTAGCTGTACAGTGTACCAGTGAGTTGATCGACTGACAAGGATGGCGAGTCGCTCATTTTTTGGATAGTATCGTCGAGACCAAGCAGGTGTCAAACCATCTAAACCCCAGGGCCAGCAGAATGTGTCTTGTAGTTATATCGCTCGGAACATCCAATGATAGGAAGAGACTGTTGAGAGCATTGTTCTGGATGGTTGGCCGGCGGTCCTTTGGACGGATGCGAAAAGTGAAACTCTTTGTCAAAAGCACCCACATAAAGTACCATAACTGATAAGCCGTTAGAATCGCAAATAAACATATGTGCATGTGATTGAAAGGTATGAAGAAGCCCTCAGAGAGAAGATTAAGGTCGTCAATGCCTCACACATCCGCAGATGGTATGGCTTTCCGGCTAAGGATGATACGATGTATTCATCATGAACGGGCAAGGGTGTAGTGGAATAGAATGTGGATAACTTACCGGCTTGTCAGTGCAGTGGGAAGTGTAGGCATTCGGGTTTGTCCATTAGATTGAATATAGGGGCTTCCGGATACTCAACCAGGAGATCAGTCATTGTAGGAGATAATCCTGCGACCTTGGTATGGCGTCTGTGACACCGGTGGCTTTGCCATTTGTGTTTGATCAGAGTCATCCCCGTAGTCCAGCTTAGAAGACGTGTCTTCTGGGGTGTGTTGCTTAGACCCCTTCTGGGACTGCAGCCGCTTCTGATCACCGCCTTGCATCTGAGATTCTGTGTCGAGAGGTCGCTTTTCAGGTACAGTATCTAGTTTACCCTTTGATCCATCATCTATAGATGACTGCATCCGAGCTTGGTATTGCGCCTCATCGTTCTGGAGCTGCCTCGCTCGCAGAAGAGCATGAACTTCACTGTGTCTGAAGATCCGAATCTGCTCATCTGTGAGCGTACGCTTCACTCCGTCTGGATAGTATCCGAGATCGTCGTCTGTGGTCTGGTCATTTTCTTGGGGAAACACAGCCAGCTGTTGCCCAGGGAAGTGCTTAAATTGGAAGGCTTTGAGGTCATCCTAGAAGAAAGAGAGGTTAGAAAACATTTGATCACAGATGATGGAGAAGCTTACCAGAGTTACACTTGGGACCTGCATGGTGGTGTTGATGAGAAAGAAGGGAGTTGTCGCGGGAAGACGCGATCATGTGGGTAATATTACCGTAATTACCAATACCAAGGTGTATGTAAATATAGGAGGCAGCCACTACTTTGTCTCACTTTCGATGATTTAAGAGAGGATCTGGAGCACTGAAGCAAGATGCATAGGTAATAATTTTCGAATTTGGATGTTCTTGAAGAGACAACGCCCAATTTACTGAAAGAGAACCTCATTTTATCCCTTTTCCTAATGGTATGCTACTGACAATATTCCCAATCTTTGCTTTAACACAATCGAATCTAACCTGGATCTCCCGCAAAGTTTGCAAATCTATCTTGGCTACCAGTTCGGATTCCTTCGGACTAGGCTCTGACAGACGCCAAGCAAGTGAGATATGGAAGCACCCTGAGAAATCCTCGCGCTCCTGACTGCTGCTCCTATCACGGAGGGATGCACTGGTCTGTTGCTCTTGAGTCGAAGAGGTTGCATAAAGTGGCGGCTGCCCGAAGCGAGCGAGAGTCTCGTTTGACATCTTCAGGAGGCGGTTCAGACCATCATGGCTCGGTCTCCGCACGCCCAAGACGAGAAACCAACGTGTCTTTTCATAATTGGATGACCAATATAAAGTATCTGGTTGGACATGAAATCTATTCAAAGTATTAGCGGATGATCAAGAATTGTAAGTTGGCCACATACGATAGAACATGCGAGGCATGAATAGCCTTTTCTAGCGCCTCAGTGAACAAGGCACGCTGCTCAGTGCGAAGAATCACTGGCCGAGACAGGCTGATATGAAGGGGTAACTGGGCACCGAGATCGCTGTGGAGAAGACTGTGCACTACGGGTGCCTTTTCCTCTGCCACATATCCAGACTGAGAGATGACATCTGCAAGGAGCGACAGCTCATCTTTCCCCGGGTACCCTATCAAAGTTAGCTCCTTGTACAAGTGGCATTACACCAGCGCTCAGTACTCACATTCGAGGTAAAGATGTGTTGGCCAGTTTCCTTCTACGTGAGGAATTATGCGTTTTCGGCCGCCATGGAGGCTGGGATCATCTTGCACACTCACACGTGTGCTCGAGGCATAGAGGCTATGGAATGATGCAGGTAGGGGCGGCAGCGATGGACCTTGATTGATGTTGCGGCAAGGTTTTTTGGCCGGGCGAAGAGAAGATCTAGATTCTGAGTCGGATTCCGAATCAGAATACTGTACTAGGGACATCTCATCCGATGTGACAGGAGAGTTGTTGTGTTGATGGAGGTCTGATTTCTCAGATGTGGGGCAATTTCAAGTAGGCGACCAATCACCGTTTTCAATTTCATCTATAAATTTCAGTTTTTGATATTGGCACTTCTCTTTCATTTGTCATATATTCTTTCTTTCTATTCTCACATTATGTCATAATTATTGCCTAAGATCTTTGTGCGGATTCAGCAACGTACGGATTTAGTAACGTGGAGATTCACCAATGTACGCTTCATGAACAGGTTTCACAAAATGAAAGCGAGAGCTTTGAGCCGCTGCACAGCCATGTTCGAAACGGCTACCACTTGAAAGCAACTTAATGATACCTTAATACACTGTAAATATCAAGGCGCCAATAGTGGACTTGGAACATTGCCTTTGGACTAAAGCGGCTCACTATCATCATCTCAGGAGACTTCTATGTTATCAAATCCTCGTATATGGGCAGGGGTGTGTTATTCGTAAGTAGGTAGTCCGTGTCGGGCAAGAAGGGAATGTGAGTCTTCAATTCTCCTTGCATATGATGTATCAGATGCAGTATAAGTATCTACGTTGTGAGTAACTAATTTATCTTTTTCTCGGAAACAGCGGTACGTTAAATTTTATGATAGGCCTACAATATAGAGACCAATCACCAGTAATCGAGCTTCATTCAATAGCCATTGTGCCAGCAAAATATTATATGTCATTCTCTTGGTATGGTACATATACCAATCCATCTGCTTCCTTTCGTATTGCATCCCCAGGTTCAGGCGCTATTTCACCGTTCAAACCCGATTCGAACCCGAACAAATGAGAGTCTCACGAGGAAAATTTCTTAATCTCTTACTCTTTAGCCCTACGGTGCTCGCCGGACCTGCCGCGTACGGGATATGCCAAGCAGGATGTGCCGCGGTTGTCATGGCTTGCTATTCAGCAGCGGGTTTTACTTGGGGAGCTACTATGGGTATTAGCGCACCTGCCTCTATTGTTGCTTGCAATTCGGCTTTTGGGACATGTCAAGGGGCTTGTGCCAGCGTTCTTTTAGCACCGACCCCCTAAATTTTCAGGTTATCACGTAAGTCCTTTTGGTTCTAAGATGCGCTGAACGTGGTGTGAAGACATTTTGTTTCTCACTCCTTTCACAGGACGGATTGAAACCAGCTTCACCACTAAATCACAGAGGTTCTGTCGCCTTGAACCTTGAATTCCACGGCGGAAGTGGAAGATTGTTATTCCTGATTATGTTTGCGCGGCTTTCGTGTATATCCTTCAAACAAATTGTTGATCAAGAGCATTCGAAAACATATTACTGTACGGAGTACCCCCCCGACACATACTTTGTTTCCCGGCTAGTGCCCAGACCAACACTTAACATAAGGATAGAGTAGTAGTAATGGGTATAGCGTGTTTTAGAAGTAGGTGAGACGAAGTCTCCTTGTGTAAACGATGGAACTGATTTCGAACTGTATTATATCATGGGAAGACAAGAGCTTTAACTGCACAGAGTCAAATTTCCTTTGTAGCCAATCGCTTCACATTATGTAGTTAAATAAGATATGACATGCCCAAGTCAATTTTCAGATAAAGCAAAATCAAATTCTATTCGATGTTATTCAAAACCGTGGCGAGAGCTTCAACAAAAGACAGTAACTGAGTAAGATTGAAGGAAGGAGCTTTAGTCTTAAATTGATACATGAAGCGGATACCATATATAAAACTAGAAATGATTGGCCGTCGGTACCTTGCCGTCTAGAACCATACCACGTACGACGAGATCACTTGGATCTATATTCTCATTTAGACTTGACGCCCTAGGAACGTCCGATGGATGATAAAGCTGAGATAAAGTTTGCGCTTCGGGTTCCTGAATGCATGAAACGACATCTTGGGCAGGTGTACTACCCTCAATGAGACTACCCCACAATCTGCTCTTCTTATAATACTGCAAGCCTTGTGAGGCCCAAAGAGGTTTCAAGCTTTGCAGAGTATCGCAAGTTTGCATGAGTGCCCATCGAATCACGTCAAGCGAGGTCACAAGATCATTTTCTCGGCGCATGCTATGACTGACCTCGGGTGGGATTAGAATTAGGACAGACTGGCCAACTCCAAGGGCACGCAGTCTGCCACATGCTTTACCAAAGTCAGAATATTATGTCACCTTTCTGAAAACGCACTCACCTTGAATAAGACTGTCTTTCGTTAAACGAGGCCCTCCCCTTTCTGGGGGATTTTGAGAAGGTGATATGCGATATGGCTGGAATACATAGCACTACCGGTGTTAGTAAAGATGCTGAGGATCAACATTGCTTTATTATTCCCTGTGAAATGAGATCGAAGGGACATTCTAAGTATAAAACTCTACAATGTCCGTGTTCTATGTACTAGCCACAACCGTAACTAACACCGACCAACACTCTTGATATTATTATTTCAATTCCACCTTTGGAATGGTGGCAATGCGACATCGGCCTGTATTCATTTCCTCTGCTCTGTGTCCTTATATAGCCCCTTTATATGAAGACCAGCTACATATCACCTAATCTTTTATGCATGCGAAAATTATTTGTGCACCGCTCTAGTTATATTATTCAGCTGGATATTTATAGAAATGGAGTCGATATCGCCCCACCACACAAATATCAAACACACTAGCAGTTTCAAAATTAGTTGCGTCGTCCCTACACATGAGTAGCTATCCCAAGACATCCGTTCAGATTGTATGCGTGTATGTTGTAGAACGAGGAAATGCACATGAATCGTAGCAAGGAGCAAAAAGCGGTGAAAAGCTAAATAGCTGAAGAAATTTCCCAACGAAGGTACGGAGGAAATAGAGTCTAGATCTAGACCAGGCCAGGGGTAGTTCGGATGCCAAGTGAGACCAGTTAGACGCTATTTCCCCTAGTGATGAGCTTAATCCATGGACGAGTCATCGGAGACTTCGGGATAAGATATCCGACGACTACTTAGGATATCTAAATTGACTTTTCTTCTTCAGATGGCAGGATGACGTTGAAAAATAAGGGAAAATGTATGTGGAGGTAGTACTCCAGGGATATCGTCATAGGGGTCGGGAAGTGGACTGACTGCGTGGAAGTCTCGGATGTGGAATGCAACATGGGCCTTGCATATATTTAGTCTTTCTGCATGGTGAATCATGGGATTTATTTTCGAATCGAATAGGAGAATTGTAATCCACTCCAATTGATTTAGCGAAAGTAGAAACTATTGAGTGGGACAATATACCATGATATCACTAACGCCATACTCCGTCGACGTCCCGGGAATCGGCGGCCAAGTAGTAAACCTAACATCTCGATCCACCCGGTGGTCTATTCTCAGTGATAATTGGTACATGCAGTCGCGGAAAATTCAAATGAGGTTCTAAGCCCCATCAGAGGCTCCTGGACTGCGTCTAGCCACGAGGATCATTAAAGCATAGGTATAGCGAGTCGTCACGTCACGTCCGCTGCTTCCTTTGATATAAGCCCTTCTTGCGCCGCTCGCTCTTCTCCCTTCTACATCTACCCATCTTCATACATTTCACTCTTCTTCTCTTACACTCTTCCTCTATTACATCCTCAGCTACTATACAAGCTATCCTGCATTGCAGTTCAGCCTCACCTGTTCTAAATTCAGTAATCTTACTCTTACTTATAACACCGGGTAATATTTGCGCCCTGCGCCTTTCATCCTGGATACCTCTTCATCTCATAAAAACACTTCGAACAACTTCGAAATGGCAGTTGACTGCATTCCCATGGCCTCGAGTCATCACTTCAACCAACTTAATCAAGATCGACCAAACGTGCGAGCAAGCATGGGCAGCAACAACCCATATGCCCGCTTCATGTCGCCAGCACCGTCTGGCTACTCCCAGCGGTCGCGTTCTGAGTCACTGAACTCGACGCCTTCTATCTGGTACTCCGGCGCACCCGAACATTACCCGGTGGAGCCGAGACGCAAACGCGAGTCCTCTGCTCCCCATCGTCGCCGCACCACCAAGTCCAACCGCCACTCGATGATCGTGCAGCCTGATATCATCGACAGGCTGGACAATGTCAGCAATTTCTCCTATCACCACGAGGGTCCGTATGACGCGACCCGCCCTGAGCGCAACCGCTTCAGTCAGTCCAGCCCGCTGGAGGCTGTCAAGGAATCCAATGCCGAGGCCCTCCGGGCTACTCCGCACCACAAGATTGCCGATGCCCTAAACAGTCACCGCCCATTGGATGGCGTGGCTTTCTATCCTCCTGGAACCATGGATCGCAACGGCCAGGAGTACTCTTACGAAGAGGGCTCGAACATGATGAATGACTTTTCTGGTAACTTTATGCGCCTCCCTGGCACGGTATGTCCATCTTCCTATCTTACTGTATCACTATGACTGACTCCGTTCCAGAAATTCACCGATGAGGACTTCAAGAACGATCCCTTCTACAATCGTCCTTTGGTGAACCCGTTCTCTGAACTACGAAAGAAAATCAGTCTGCGACTCAAGAAAAGACGCAACACTCATTAAACGGGTCTCGACAATTCACGACCTGACGACTAATTGATGATCACGGATTGACGATGGGTAATATCGGAATGGGCTTGGGATTCGGGGTTCGGGCTTCGGTTGGGTTTCAATTTTGGGATACGGGAAAAGGTCATGTGTTAATCATTTGTCTTCGGGAGTTTACGGTTATATTATCTGGGAGACTCAACTTTGTTTAATCGATATTGATAATGCTATACGGATTAATCATGTATGTAATTCAACAAATGAAAGGCCAAGGGCCCATTTCAGCTTCTTCAAACCCCTGGACCCTGAATAATTACCCCACCTGCCCTGGATGTATACGATCTAGCTCTGGGATGGCAGATCTATATAGAAAAGATACCCAACCCCGCCGATCGAGGAATGTCACCTGTTACACCGTGCCGGTCGGGTGTATGCCCCTCACAGACAGAGATGCAGGGCACGAGTCCCCCATTCCATCCCCAGACATTGATAATAATGACAGCTTGGGTTCCTTCCTAATTCGTAGAGCGGAGGGCTGCGGAATGTACAGTTACCTCACCATATCATCATCACGAGCTTAATAGCTTAATTTGAACCTTGGATGGATTCTTCCCCACACATCCGCTTCCTAAACAGGTAATCACCTCTCTCTGCTCACTTTGTACTAAGAAACAATTATGATCGCACTCCCATTAGATTGAGCTTTCATCTTGTCTGTTATAGGGACATTCGACATTCCGAGGTCTAGCATATCAGCGTTATCGCTGCAGAGTTACAGGTAAATATTTTCAGCTTATATGTGTGCTACTCGATGTAGGGTGTCATACTTCAGCCGATCTGGTGGGCTGTCGAGAAAACGCACAAATTGACGTCATAGTTAAAATGTGTTCGATGCCTTGTTGCCTGAATACATTGCTGCCTGAATGCCTAAGGTTTGCTTGTCGCCTGATCTTTTCTGCCTAGGATGTCATTACATGCGGAGTGCGGAGTACTCATTCTGACTCCCCCTCACCTAGATCTTAAAATCCACCAGATATCCAATAGAACCCATTATCCATGCGATGGAAATATACATTGATGGTATCTACCTTGGTAGATCTCAGGATGTGTCATGAACCTTCGGGTGGTATCAAATTGATTTGATCCGAGTTGAGACCCTGCGGGTATAGAGTACAGGCAGCAGGATTGACATCTAGTTTGACGTTATGAAATGCCTTCACTAAAAGACCTAGATACTAGATACTATTATCTCGCCCCACCGCGACCGTACCAGCTCAGTAAACATGGCATTCACATGCACTGATATCTTCCTATGGACAGCGGGCCGAGCTACGAGTGCATCTGCATCATACGCTGGATAACGGACTCCGTCGGAGTAAAAGGAAGTGCAATTAATCGCCATGCCGGTTGTTCCTGACGACGTTGCAGTCGCTGCAGATCCCGCTGGCTAGCGACCAATGTCTGCCTCACAGCGGGTCTTGTCTCAACTAGCCACGATCTCTATTGGCAAAGCTTGGTAATGCGTGAATATCCGCACGGAACGCAAATCGCTCCGAGTAGCAGCGTCTTGAAAAAGGGTCGATGGGGTTATAAAAGCAGATTTCCGTGCTCTTGGGTTCAATTCTGGTTCTCTAGCATCATCGAATAATGTTGATTTTGGCAGCCTTTACTTCGTTGGTGGCCGTGGCCACGGCGGTACAAAATCCGCATGGCAGAGCTGCATCTTTCAGAAAGCCTGCGAACGGTCTGCGCAAAAGAGAGCTTCCCGCTGCTTTGACTGAGCATCAGTATCTGAATAACAAGACGGAAAGTAAGTGCAAATATGTCTTGGTGGGATCTGAGACTGTCACTTACAACCACTTCTTCTAGAATTCCAAGTGAACGGAACTCACTTCCCACAAGTTCCTTTCGACATCGGCGAAAGCTATGCCGGTCTTTTGTCGAATAAGCCTCATGGAGAATCGAGCTTGTTCTTCTGGTTTTTCCCGTCTACCAACCCAGCTGCGGAAAAGGAGGTACGTGATTTCAATCCGTCGCAGAGTTTCGTCTAATTCTCGAAGATCACCATCTGGCTGAATGGAGGCCCAGGATGCAGCTCGCTTGACGGCCTGTTACAAGAAAATGGACCCTTCCTATGGCAATCTGGAGTGTACGAGCCTGTGCGCAACCCGTACTCATGGACCAAATTGACCAACATCGTCTACATCGACCAGCCTGCCAGCACGGGCTTTTCCCCCGGACCATCCACGGTTGAAAATGAGATCGATGTTTCGAATCAATTCAACGACTTCTGGGAGCGCTTCATTAAAACCTTCAGCATGGAGGGCTACAAGATTTACCTCACTGGAGAGAGCTATGCGGGCCAATACATTCCGTTTCTGGCAGACGGGATGTTAAACCGCAACGATACCACGCATTTCAACCTCAAAGGCATCCAGATTAACGACCCTTCCATTAATGATGATGATGTTATGATCTATGGTCAGTTGTTGCTCCACCACAAAAATCTTCATACTAACCATGTCCAATAGCCCCGGCAGTGGCAGCGCTGAACCACTACTCCTCCGTTTTCGCACTGAACGACACCTTCATGACAGAAATCAACCACCGCGCCGACAAATGCGGCTACACCAAATTCTTAGACACAGCCCTAACCTACCCCCCACCCAAGAACTTCCCGACCGCACCAGACCCCAACAAGCCCGGCTGCGACGTCTGGGACGAGATCGTAAAAGCAGCAATCTACGTGAACCCCTGCTTCAACATGTACCACCTAACAGACTTCTGCCCCTTCCTCTGGGACGAAATGGGCTTCCCCTCGTTAGCCGGCGGACCCAACAACTACTTCAACAGCACCGCCGTCCAAGCAGCCCTCAACATCCCACCAACAAACTACGCAGTCTGCGGCCCCCGAATCTTCAACGACGGCGATAATTCCGTTCCCAGCGCACTCGGTCCCCTCCCTAGCGTCATCGAGCGCACCAATAACGTCCTCATCGGCCATGGCTGGTACGATTACCTGCTCTTCGCCAACGGAACCCTCGCTACAATCCAGAATATGACTTGGAATGGAGCGCAGGGATTCCAGAGACCTCCTGACGGGCCATTGTTTGTGCCGTATACGACTGCTCTCGATGATATTGCTAATGGGGCGGGGAGTACGCCTTGGACTGCTGATTCCGGTGGCGGTATTCTCGGAACGGCCCATACCGAGCGTGGTCTGACCTTCAGCTCGGTCTATACTGCCGGTCATGAGATCCCACAGTACACTCCCGGCGCGGCTTATAGGCAGTTGGAGTTCTTGCTTGGGAGGATTAAGAATCTTCAGCAGACGGGGTCTTTTACGACATTGTAAATATTCTAGGTAATAAACCAGGTATCTTTTTCATGAGTGTGCAATACAAACAATACTTGGTTTATATTCAATTGGTCCTTTAATGGTCGTTGACATCATGATTGACTGTCTAACTCGAGACTCAACGAGCGATTTCCCGAGGTCTATTAACAAATTTAAACCAGATGTAGTTATAGAACAATAGTGTCATGACATGTTCCCATTTAATCCATTAATCATGTCATATATTCATCCTGTTCTGTTAAAACAGCGATATTCCTCCTCAAATTGACCAAATTAATACACAATCCTATATTTTGCAACATTCCATCAAACCCAAAGTTTGATATTTCATTCAACCAATGACCTCTAAGCCTTCTTGGCAGCAGCCAAGCTGGTGCTCGCCACACCGGAAGAGGAAGGAGAGGGAGTAGCATCCAAAGGTCCGATTCTCAGCGTGCCACAAGGGCTAGTAGGGGCAGTAAGACAACCACCCAGATACGCGCCAAGGCTACCAGTCTGGTTACGAGTAGACAAGATCTGAGCCGGGCCGTAAGCCGCCACCAGAGAAGTAGTGTTCTGGGCAAAGTAGGTAGAGTTCACACGGCTGCCAATCAAAGCAGAGTGCGCGCTGTGCTCAGCAGCCAGACGAGCCAGGAGGAAGGAGACCTCGGGGGAGTCGGAATAGCCGGCAAGACCGATGAAGGCACCAGTGACGGTGTCTTCGAAGCGGTAGGCCCACTGTGCCCAGGTCTGGGTGGTGTTCACCTCGGGGAAAACGTAGGTGCACTGGGGCGCGGTGAAGCCGGGGGCCTTGGCGCCGACTTTCTCGATGGCGGCGCTGGATAGCGTGTTGTCCTTCTCCAGGCCGAAGAGGATCTTCTGATAAGCTAGAAGGGTGGCGTTGTTGGTGTTGCCGAAGGTGCTGTTCACGGTCGAGTTGTACCAGCCGCCGATGAAGTTGGAGACTCCTAGGGCGAATTGGAGGACAGTGGTATCAGAAGATGAGGGCACGCAGGTTGAGGCTGCGCCTGCGGCAGCAGTAGTAGTGGCGGCCGAGGTGGCGGTGACTCCGGCCAGGAGGAGGCTGACGATGTTGAGACGCATTGCGCTTGGAGTAATCTGGTCTCTGAAGAGGAGGCTTATAGAGGTAGCTTATAGAGTGACTAGGTAAGGTTTTGTGAAGAACAGAAGACTAGCTACGTGCATGGGTAGTTAAATACCCTTATAGCCCATAAAACCGCGCAATCTCCGAGTCTTCTAGAGTCATGATCGCCCCCGCAACGCATGCGGCAGCCTCCGAGTATGTTAATTGAAGTATACTTCCTGAAGAACCGGTTGTTTCCTCTGGATTGGCGTCATGGTCCACAATATCAACCTGTGAGAGCAGGGTGTGGTGGAATCCATATTGCCGTAGCCTTGTGGGATGACGTCGACCACTGAGCAGGCCAAGCTTGGGCCATGATTTTGATATAAAAGAGTATAGAGATCGACGCTTGGAGATTCAAGATCCAAAATGGAGTGGGTGAGATCATCAGGGTACCCGGTCGACCCCGGTGACTTGGATGATGGCGTCGATAAAACTTTGACTGTTGCATAGAATTAAAGCTTACATGACTAGTTCTGATCTTAAATCTACGACCTACTAGCATTATAGTCCCTGAATATCGGCATGGAAATGTCTAGCAATCATGGTGGCGAGTAGAATGATATACTCCTTCGCACCCGGATGCTGGCGGACCGCTATAAATATCGCAATTTAACTTTTCAGGGAAATCCCAAGCCTTTCCGAGATTTGTATAAATCGAGCTATGCATAAAATAAATTGGAATTGAACATAGAGGGGTCATGCTCAAAGGGAAAAGAAAATAACTGATAGACTGGCAGCCCATCAGTTCGAAACAGTAGCATATGTAGCGATCTTAACCATCCTTTGTCCCACCAAAAGCAGACGTTAATCATCAGCATAAATGTGCAACGAGACCCGCCTATATACATCTCATATAATGCGCCACTATACATACTCCGCTCAACAAGCAGCTGATCCCCGTACACAAGATGATCAGCCCATATCCACTGCCATAGCCCGCTGCTGCGGAGCCCTTCCACGGATCTACCTCGAGTATAGCCTCGCTCAAGGGGCCGCTGACGACATTTCCAATTCCTCGTCCAAAGGCAATAACCGAGAAGATGATGGTTGCGTCGGCGGACGGGTCGATCCGTCGGACCTCGTGAGTTATCCCCGACCATGTCGCCGAGTAACAGCCTGCAAACAAACCGTATGCGATCGAAAAGACGAACAATGTGGGCAGGGTTGTCGCAAATCCCCAGAGGAAGAATACAGCCAGTGTACTGCCGACAGTCGAGATGGTAATGCAGGTGACAGCATGGTATCGATCCGCCAGATGGCCCATAGTAACACTCCCGAAAACCGACGCCAGATTCAAAAGCGTGATGGTCAGCGAGGAGAGAAAATCCGAGGCGCCGATGCTACGGGCATAAGTCGGCAGATAAATTCCGGGCAAGAAGAACCCCAATGCCTCCATGATGTTGCCGAGTTGGTAGACGCAAAATATCCTGCTGGTAAGGAAGCGGAAGTTCAGACGTTGATAGTCGACTGTTTTTCTGACCGGAAGCCGGGGTTTGTGAAAGTAGATAAAAGGTGCAGCGAGAACGAACACCACCACGGAGATGACCCTAAGAGTCGTTTCGAATCCGTAGCGATTCAATAGCTTCTCTAACCCAATCGGGAATATGATCCCGGATACTCCTGAGCCAGCCCAGGTTATGCCGAACGCGAGTCCTCGTCGGTGGACGAACCATTCGTCCATGTACAGGATGGATGGACTGTATGCTATACACCCGCCGATGCCGAAGCCGACTCCTTGGGAGAGGACTAGGTGAGTGATATTGGAAGAAAATGAACCCAGTGCTAGGGAAAGACACATTATTATCACTCCTATAGATGAGAACCAGCGTCCCCATTGAGGAAGAAGGATCATAGCAATAATGACTAGTGGACAGCTCAAATAGGATATTCCCTGTCGATTGTGTTAGCATAGACCGTCGTAAGCAGTTGGTGATCTCACTGTAGCACATGTTCCAACAACAGCTACCATGTTAGAGTCCTGGAAGGCTTCATGGGCGTGATAGTATTTCTGAAAGACTCCGAATGCAAAAGCAAATCCTGCTCATGTTAGTCGGCTGTCATCTCCTAGAGTCGTGCAAGCTGACTTACCCCATATCAAAGCCTCCAACATTACACAAGCCATCAGGAACATCCATGCCTGGAAACCTCCGTCGACAGGTGGTAACTTTTGTCTATCGTCCGTGGACGATTCGTCGAATTTCTCGGGGAACAAGCGTATCTGTGCTTCACTGCGAGGCAGTGAGTCGCTGCATGAAGGGCGTCTTCTCTCCATATTGGTGATGTTGAATTCTGTGGTCTGGATAGACAGGGACGTTAAAGACAAAAAAGCAAGTTCTAACGGTGAATGTGTCCATTTTAACTGCATCTAAATTAAGCCATAAGTTATGGTCACATTGTTTGATCATGTCAAGGAGGTCTAGCGTTCGAAGGGATGGCGAGAACGCTTGGTAAAGATCAGCCAGGTGACGGAAGGAATTTCCGTACGTAGACTAATAAGGCTGGCATGCAACTTCAACGGCCGAGCGGGAATTATACACTTGTGTATCTACCTCAAACACGGGTGGTAGCTTGTGAGTAACCACATCGCTGATTTTGCAATCGGGCTGGGCAGATGATCCCGATGTAGTGTATGTACTTATGATAACGCACTGGTGAATGTGACTTGCTGGAGTATGATATTGAACCCAACCCCTACTTTGAAGCTTTAAACAAAACAACGTTTTTAAAAGGCCGACGCTGACGTGCTTTACGTAGGGAATAGAGAGCTCTTCGGAGGATTGTAAGCTGGGGCAGCATCAAACACGGCTAGAAACGGACGTGCGAAGGGATTGGAATGTAAAATATGATCGCCGCCAAATCAGGATGGAGACGTCGGAGACTTGTGCCGATGTATATCCTATGATATCACACATAAAGCTCCGAGCTGCAGATCTGCAGATCAGTAAACAGCCCCTTGTTCAATACAACTCCGCGTAGTGCAGTGCCACGTCAGGCTGAGGATGAGCTAGGAGTTTTATGCCTTATCATCAAGGGGCTATAAAAGCGCCAATGATCTCGTGTCTGATGTGACATAGCACGCAAGATGGCGCAGATAATGGCATGCCTATATGATGTCCGTGAGCCCGTACTATGGTCCGCGAAAATCTGTTATCACCCCAGTTCGGTAGCAGTTCCCCGTGGTCACACTCCTAGAAGATCGTGATACTATATTTGGCTGGCGCAGGATTCTAATGACATATGGTATATAGAGCATGGACCCGAGTACATGTTTCTGAAAACCTTGAGTTCAATTTGCTTGTGACACGGGATCATGGCTTACTGCAGACCTGAAGAGTGACATAATTGTTGTCGCAGTCCATCTCGGTTGATTCACCACGTTGGGTTTGTCGACGCGATTTTCGTATCATTTCCCCCACATTTACCAGCAGGCCTCTCCCATCAATCAGCGAGCCAGATATTCTGATCTGTCCCATAGCCAAACGGAATCCAAGAGTCATTGAAGTATCTCTGTAGTACAGTCTGCATGTAGTCCATATCGTCAACACAGTATCCACCGCCACCAGGACCGATATGTGAACAGTGCACATCGGGCCGGTACTGCACCATATGCTCATGGACCTCGCGGCACAGCAATGTGTTACGACCCAGCTCGTGGGCCTTTCCAAATCGCACAGTCTTGGTCAAAAAGTCATAACAACTTGCGGTGTCTGTATACTGCTGGTTCGAACCTGTGCAATGCTGCTCATGTGTATCACAGATCGCGGTGGCTAGCAAATCAGCAACATAGGCAACAGCCTGGTCGGGCTCAGTCGCGTTTATTTTTGTCGCGACTCCTTCGACTAAGAAGTCCAGTAGGTACTCAAACCAGCGAAATGTTGCGTCGTACTGCGCGATCTTGCCGTCGGCGTTGAACTCGATCCATGTGTCGATCGTCACTGGGATAAGGACGCCGAAACTGGTTGCGTTGAAGGTGACAACGGTTGTCGCGGATGCGATGTTGTCGTTCGCAGTAAATTGAGTGATGTTATATGCGATCGGGACACCGACAAGACTGACGTGCTCTGGATCGGCGAATAGGCCGAAGATGTATTCGCGGTTTAGCTCGTCGCCGTCGAAGGTGCGGGTGATGTCGACACGACCTTGCACCTGTAATGTGTCAGATTATTATCAGAGGGAGAAACTGGAGAAACTCACGTCTGATGCGAAAATAGTCGATGCATTGCCTTGCGTCTGTTTGAGATTTGCAGGGTAGAGAAAGGAATCCCAGAAGCCCTTCTCGAGTTTCCAGAGCTGGTCAAATGTGAAGGCTGATCTTGGATGTTCCGAAGATTTAGATTCGACAGAAGCAAACAGACAGGCAGATATAATTGGAAGTAAGAATCCCAATTGACCGGAGTGGAAATGCATGTTAATCGTGTCGGCCTAGCTTGGGATTATTCTAAGTTGGCTTGGACTCACGCGAGGTCTTGTCCTTGTATGTGAAGGACATCATTGTTTTGAGGAATCCTACTAAGGACATTCCACTTGAGGTATTTCGAATTGTACATGATCGAGAATAGTTGTTAGACTTGTAGAAATAATCATCCACGGCATTTCTGAAGCCTCAGTACTATTGGCAGGTAAGTTTGTAACAACACATTCAAAATCACTATATTCCGATATACTAAAATTGTTTATACAGATTTCATGTCAAATCCAAGTCTTGGGGCTTTTCTCTGTCGCATACTTGTATTGGGCTGGTTGATCGCAAACTCCCAGCCTCCTTGCACTCTCATTCCAAGCTTGTGGGATGTTTATAAATCAACGAAAAAGATACGAATCAAATTGTTCAAATGCCGTGAGTTTTCGCTAGCAATTATTCCAGGCGAAATCTAGAGATAGGATTGAATTGAATTGACAATGGTTGTGAAAACTTCGGGAATAGGAGGCTTGAAATATATACCATGACATGCATGAGGCTGCTAAAAGACTCAACAGCGAGAATAAGTAGAATCATCTATGCTGATAGTCTAAATAAAATCAAATTCACCACATAGAAGTATTTTGAATAGTATGAAACATTAAATACCCAATCTATACAGAATCCAATATATCCTGAAGCTGCCAAGCAATAGAAATCTCACTTTTCGGATCATGAATCAGGGTTCTACTCAGCTCAATCAAAGTCCGCTCGATAAAATCGCAAAGTCGGGGGAAAGTAGTCTGAAAGAAACCAAGGCGTTTGCGCGTGACGAATGGATGGTCCGGGAAATACACCGAGATATCAGACGCCAGTGTCTTGATCTTGCGCAGGGATCTAGCTGTCATCGTAAGTCTCTGGCTTACTATATGCTGATGGCCTGGGTGGCGCACTAGAATCTGAATCTCGCCTTCGAGTTCGAGTCGGAATTTGTAGATTTCTTGTGTGTAGGTCGGTACGAGATTTTCGACCCAGCCGGGTGTAGAGCTGTTCCACCAAGCCATTGTTCTTGGAGATGGGTAAATCGTTGAGATGATATAGGACAGGCGGATCTGTATAAGTTAGTCGCCGAGATAGATCAAGGTATTGATGATGATGGTTTGCTACTTCGAGAAGGACTAACATGTTATTTATACCAATCGTTATTATATACATTTGAATAAGTTGCTTAATACTATGATCATTGATAATAAAAGGGAGAGTTACAAAGCTCATTCTTTCATTCTTTGTACCCCACAGAAACCTGTCTTAGGGATAGGGTCATTCATTGGGTAAAGACTTACGAACCTTAACAAAGAAGCAAGTCTGGATCTAGAAACTGTCGATACATTGAGTCGTGGTTTAGTTGCAGATTCATCAAGAGACAAGTCGTTTCCGAATAAAAATATATACAAGCCAAAGCATGAGAACAACACTAAGTGACAGTGAACTTTCCATCCTCACGAATATCCCGACTGGAGGTTCCAACATAGACAATGAAGGTACCACTAGGTACAACCCACTTTTGTGTCTGCACTTCCCAGTAGCTCAAGTCTCGCCGAGTGAGCTCGAAAGTAGCTGTTCCCGGCTCTCCCGGCTGGAGATTCAACTTCTGGAACCCTCGCAGCTGCTTGGGGGGAGTACTTGGGGCGGAGTCCGGCAGGCCAAGATAGAGCTGAGCAACCTCAGCACCAGCTACCTCGCCAGTGTTTTCGACACCGATAGAGATAGTGCCGACCGACTCGAAAATTTCCTCTGCCCCGCCAGGGACAATTCGTCCATTTGATGGCCCAGCTGTGGCAGCAACGCTAACCACAAGTCCAGTGTAATTAAAAGTCGTATACGATAAGCCATAGCCAAACTCGTAGCGCGGGTCGATGCCGTTCTTGTCGAAGTGGCGGTAGTCAATAAACAAATCTTCAACGAAATTGTCATCGAGCCCACTGTTCCAGCCGGCCCCGTAGTCTGAAAACTGCTTGGCAATCGTGTAAGGAAGCTTACCGCTTGGAGAGGTGCTGCCATAGAGCACGTCAACCAGGGCGTTTCCGCTTTCTTGACCTGGTAGCCCGGCCCAGACAATTGCTTTCACTGAGGGCTGCGCTAGGATGGTCTCTAGGATAATGGGCCCCACACTATGCACGACTACGATGACGTTGCTGTTCACTGCTGCGACGGACTTGACAAGCTCGTTTCCGTTGTGCCAGGGATCGAGATTGTTCCTGTCACCAACGTTGCCCTCCACTGTAATGTAACTGCAATGCACGGGTTAGTTGCAATGCATCATAGGTGCGGTTACAAGTCCGACTCACCCTTCACCGCTGTCTGCGTTAATGAAAACCACAGCAGTCTCCGCCGATGCAGCAGCCGAGACAGCAGCCGTGGTATTGTCGGTCGTACTCTGGATAATGTTCGTACCATCCTTTCTGGCCTGAACTTGGATTGCGTCGAGAGGACCAACGAGGTACTAGAGCGTCATTGTCAGTTTATCGGACTCGCGGTTGATCTGCCGGCATTGGCTTGCTTACGGGAAACTCCGATGTGCCACTGCCCCAGCCCATAGCTAGCGTGCCGGTATTGCAGCCGCGGTCTCCACATGCATTGGGACCATTGGGATTGACGATGGCATCTTGCCCAATAATAGCCAGGCTTTTAGGTTGCCGTAGAGGCAGAGTATGTTCCTGATTCTTCAATAGGACAATCGAATCACGGGCCACGGTGCGGGCGACAGTGGCATGGTCTCCTGTTACATCGGCAGCGGCTTTTCCGCCATTCCAAGAGCTGAAAGTCACCTCGGGGTAGCCTTGATCCTGACCAAGAAGATACCAAGCTGCCAGGATACGCGTTGCCATGTCATCCAGACGCGCCTGAGGTACAGAGCCATTAGCAACGGCCTGCACGAGATTTGGTCCCCAGAATATGCTGCCGGGCGGGCTATTAAAATCACTGCCAGGCATGGTCATGTCGAGTCCAGCCAAAGCACTGTTGACACTAGTGTGCTGCGCATTCCAATCGGTCATAATGTAGCCAGGGAAACCTAGCTCGTCCTTCATTAGATCGTTCAGGATAGCATCACTCTCACATGCCCAAGTCTCGTTCAATTTGTTATAGGAGCACATGACGGACGCGACATTTGCCCGAACTGCGTTCATGAACGGCCATACATACAACTCATGCGTCGCGCGGTCGCCGATGTTAGAGCTCATGGTATCGCGGTTGTGCTCTTGCTCGTTCCCAAGCCAGTGCTTTACCATGGTCAGAACGCACTGAATATGAACAGAGTGGAAGCCAGCGTACCTTGGCGCAGGCCTGAACGCCCGAATCTTGCATACCCTGGATTGTCTCTTCCATGGCAACTCCGCTGAGATACGGGTCGACCGAGAACCCTTCCCAGTTCCTACCGCCATTGGGATTCTTTCCTAGAGGCCCAGCGACTGGTCCTAGCTGGACGTGCACGCCCAGACCTTTGGCTTCCTCGCCCATGGCAACACCGCGCGCGTACAGGAGACTACGGTCCCAAGTTGCTCCGGCGTTGATCCCGGCGGGGAAAGCCGTGACCGGATTGGCAAAGCGAATTCCCAAGGGTGAGTCCTGTAGACATAAAGAGGGATAGTTGATCGAGCTAGCTGGATAAGTGTTGCCCACGCAGGGCCCTCCTTCCCAACCGACGCCAGTGGCAATCCCGACTTTTTCGGTCTGATTCAGCTTGGGAAGGACCGCTCGGGCCTTTGAATAAGCCGCGTCCCAGCCGGCAGCCCCTGAGCCATAGGCATCGGCTGCGACACTGAAGGCCAGAGCAGAGAGAAAAAGGTTCTGCATCACGCCGTTTGCTGTGGGTGGTCGCTCAATGTTTACTGCTAGGCCGGCGGGCAGGTACACCCTTTATAATCCCCGCACAGGAGAATTGGGTTTAAATTCCCGTGGTTTGGAATTCCCCCCTGGTCTCCAACGCCGGCCAAGGTCTAGATTTGGAACCCATGACTAGAATGAAGGGGTTTTTCCCTGGCCAAGAAAGCGCAAGGTGAGCTCCGCATGTACAGCGACACACGACTGGTTGCATTGTCATATATCACATTGAAACATGCAGGTTAATACTATGTATGGTTAGTCCACGATGGCCTCGGACCACTCCCTTTTATTGGCGAGTGAGACACGGAATGTGGAAAGACTGGCTGGCTATGTATTCTGGAATATAGCCTGAACCTCTTGCTTTTGACAACAGCTAAACTTGTACGTAATTTGGAAGCTTTCCCCGCAGACTGGGGAAATTTCCGTCCACTCGCTGCAGGTTGCCGGACGCTTCGCCGTGTACGGAGTAGGCAGTAGCCCGTAGACACCTCACCGTATTTTGGAGCTAGATCGTGATAGCTTAGACATCGAGCTAAAAGGGTCAGTCAATGTAGTGGGATTGCAGAGGGTGAAAAATTAGAGGTGGATATTGCATAATGAAAAGCAAAAACAAAAACAAACAAAAAAAGAATGAGGGCCCGAAGCGCGATTCGAACACGCGGCCTCTCCGAATTTGAGATGGAAACCCAAACGGAGAATCATACCTAGAAGGGATTAGCAAGGAAATTTATGACTTGAGGAAGAGACTGCAACGTACCACTAGACCATCCGGGCAATAGATGAGATAATCAACCGGAGTAGAACTCGTGACATTATTCTTTTTGAGCTACACTTTCCATCTAGATCTGATGCTTCCACTCCGGTGCATTCGACTTGCAGAGTCAGGGCGTGAATGGTTTGGCGGAAATATATCCGCTGGTCCTTTCTTCAGGTTGGCCTCTTTGAACGATAACTGCTTCGTCATATCCCTCACTGTTCTCCCCGGTAGGTTCACCTACAACAGCATGCAGATAATATTGGGGCTGATTGTATGAGTTGACGATGTATTGGCACTGTTCTGTCTAGGTTATCATCGACTTGATAATCTCCAGCCTGTGCCAATGTCCTATTTCTCTTGAAAAGTGAACTATTTCATTTCCTTCATCACGTTGCTAGCTGGATGCGGTGAAATAAACAAAGCCGATGCTGTTCCCACCCTCACTAGTCACAGTGGTGTACCACCGCATTGTGGGTTTGATTGGAAGGAGTTATCCAAGCACTAGTTCGATCAGAGGGCTTTGTATATAGTACTATTAGGTCCTTTCTATTCTGACCACTCGAGAATATATTCAAAATATATTCAAGGAGTGACGATGAAGATGAATGAGCCCATATATCCCAATATTTGGAATTGTGCATTACAAGCCAAACATGAAGAATATATGCCTCCTTTCTCTCATATAGTTAGAACTCTCATTCCAATTCTACACAGAGACGATAATCATATTTGGGGTTGGAATTTTCCCAACGCCTCATTTTGATCTCGATAAAACTTTTTCTTTTCTCTCCGCATGAAGACCCAAGCTGAATAATATTCGAACGATATTGGAATCACAGTAAGTAAAAGAATATGGTAGCTTCAATGCATAGCATCACCAACCTACCGGCTTCAGCTTTCTGCGCCCTATCCGATATTTTTAACTCATGTAATTATAGGCCATCCCTTTTTCGCAGACTGAAACCGTGAAATACATAATTTTTGCCTTTTCTAATTGAACGTGGGTACATGCATATGCTCTATCAAGAAGTGATTACATGACCTCCTGGCTGTGGTGGCCGTTAGACCGAAACAACACATCCGCTCCAGCATGACATGTCCCAAAGCCATTAGCTGTATTACAAGACACAAGCGCAGAAAGAAAAGAAGATGAACCGTAGTATATAGCAATACCTTTGCTGGCAGTTACATTGGAAAAATAAGGCCCAAAAGAGATACAATAGCAAAGAGGCTATAGAAGTTACCTCAATTTAACACTCGAGTAGTATAATTCCTGCAGTCCCCTTCGACTGTATCTACCTAAATGAGCCCATGCTTGTATGCGATTTTCAATTTTTTTGCCATATTGTAATCAAGTGTCGGTGTTGGCCCGTCTACCTGTTGGCAAAATCGGGCTCCATGGTATTTACCCTCCCATGTATCATAAATAGTGCGCGTCCCACTTTGCGAGCTTTCCTCCCTAGAATAATGCTGTTAAGCCCATTCAGTCCAATATTCAACCATGCACTTACCTGGATATATCATGTCCATATGAAGGCCCAGTGAGACGACAGTTATCAAGCCAACGGTAATCCGGTGCCCTACGGTTTCCTAAAATCCGCCACACTTCGAAAACAACTACATTCCTTCCTTTGGATTCTGGAAGACGATGTCTTATACTTATGGTCCGACACCCAGGACACACCTGGGTGGCATCCTTCCGACCCATCAAAGTAGTAAGGTCCCAGTGAGGACAGTGGAAGATGGGCACGGCTTTTAGAGTCTCAGGGGAAGAAAAGAATATGCTATAACTAGCAGACATCTCCAGCTGGTTAAACTCGTTGAGGGATATACGCATCGCGAACCGAGCCTTGTAGTCAGGTGTAGTGGGTAATGAGCAAGAGTGTCTCAAGAAAGGCCAAGATCCAATACGGTAAAAAGTGAATGGACCGAACTTAGTTTGACCCGGCGTAGGGCGACTAAAAAGTTTCGCAATAGACCCGAGGTCTCGAATCGTCAAGGCAACACACCGGCATAGGTCAACTATACCCGCATAGTCTGCGCAAGACCTCTCTAAAGCTGGGCGCGCGAGCGACTCTCGAATAAATTCCTTTCGGGGATGGAGCTTCAAACACCTTCCACAATATGCCCAGTTGCGACTCTCAAGTCGAAGGAGCAGTTGATTTCGTGGGACTTTGCTACTATTCACATATAGTATAGGGATACCAATGAGTAAAAGTCGTGGGAATTCCAATTCCTTTTCTTTCAAGATTGCTCCAAATAGATCGTAAAGTTGTTTGCAGGTAAGCGATAGACACGCTTTATCGACCAGGGGAAGATGCTTGTAGATATCATGTAGAACACTCTCTTCTAGGGAAAGTATTCTAGTGCGTTTTCTGATGATTTGGGAAAGGATAGATGGAATCGAGGAGATTTTGATGCAGAAACTCCGGACTCCCTGTTTTACTCTGCTCATTTCTTGTTTCTCGATTTGGTCCCAGTTCTTCTTTTCACCTCCCAACAACAGACGAGACTCCTCGTCTCCAGGAATGCTCTGACCTAGGCGAGAAGGTCTGCTAGGCAGTTTGTGGCGTGGCTGCATCTTTGAATCTCGGGGATACTTGAAGTTCTTGGGTTCCGGCTTCAGTGAAGAGGGGCCTAGCGTAGATAGACTAACTGCGAAGTTTGCCGACCAAGATTCATGACCATGACGTTACATTTACAAGTCTTTCAAAGCCAATCTCCAATTTTTGCATGCTAGCCAGCACATATTCCAGGGTTCCCGCGATTTCAAGAGGTCAACGACTTGTCGGTTCCACAGCCGCTAAAGTGATCATTCTGGGGCACTTTATTTTCAATGCATTAGCCCGACACAGCTCCATTTTTGCCTTCATCTTCTTCTCATCTTCTTACCACTTCGACCTTGGTCGCTCGCACTCGCCAACTCATGATGGATATCCAGAACGATTTTCGGTCATTCTTCCTAGCTTCTTTTTACTATTCTATATCCGAGATATTATCCACCCCCGGCCTTGCCTTGCTAAAACTCTAAACTTCATCTCTACCCATAAAAAGGTCAATTTCCATCGTCGTTTCCACTTCAAGTGAACCATCGATAGGTACGACGCTCAGCTTTTCAGACTGTGCCGCTAAGCCAAGCACAGTCGAGAAATAATCATCGAAAAGCGGATCACGAATCTCACACGCTTCTACTATCCCTCTATAGCACCCTTCATACCTTAGAAGCCGCTGCAACGCCTTTGCAATCCACGATTACATCTCATTGCCTTCGCACTACACCCAAAAAAGATGATTAAAAAGCGGTCTCGCCGATAGGTATGTCATCACTGATATTTGAGAGTTCGGGCAGGACTAACATATCCTTACCGTCATTAGTGTTAGTGCTCATCAGTGGCTCCATAGCTTTGGCTTCCCATTCAGAGTCCTAGGTGAATATCCCCGAAAAATTAGGGCTCCTACACTATGCCCATCCTACGTAACACTCACCAGCCATCTGCTATAATCCTCCTCGAAACATAATCTGATACATACGACCATAGGGTGTGGAAAACAGGGCTTCCCGTCCGCTCAGCCGTACTTAAGCCACACGCCGGTGAGTTAGTAGTTGGGTGGGTGACCACCAGCGAATCCTCACTGTTGTATGTTTTT